AATGTTTCTTAGTTAAGCATTCAGATTGAGTTTACTAAGAGTACAATAGATGTATTCGCTATTGTATTCAGTTGAGGTGAATTACTTCATTAGCATTTTGGTTCACTGATTAGCTCACAGACAATCAACTGTATAGCTGTATTACAAACAATTAAACAGTTTCGTAAACAGCCTTCAATCAACTTTGCGGCAATGAACTATTCATAATATCAAAACTAAGTTTGCAAACTTTTTAATCCCGAAAAATCAACAGTGGTTGACTAAACGAAACAATAGATAATTCAATAGAGCTCCTCATTAGCTCAGATTTCAATTGTAGCAAGTTTTGCGTAAACTATGCAACTAATAGGATTTACTACAATATCACATTGCAGTACTTCAGATTAAAATGACATCTATACTATTGTTCGCCTCAGTGCTTTAGTTGAACATATTTGAGAGCCTATTAAACAGCTTTGACATTATCATTTGTGGCCGTGAATTAGCTAAATTACAAAAGACCTGGTAAGGGACCGCTGGATGCCCAGTGGAGCAGCAGCATCTGCAGTCGACCTGACGATTGTGTAAGGGATGGAGAAGATGATGGGGAGGGGGAATGAGAATGAGAATGAGAATGAAAATGGTCGCTGTTGAAGTGCCCAACTGCTAACTAAGCCAAATTGTACGCTCAAGTGCCATAAAGCCATAAAGTAATCAAAGTTGATATCAAAGTACCAAACTGCTAACTTATGCTCTCATGTATTCAATTAGGACAGATTTCAAATGGGGCTGTCCTCGTTCATTTTGAAAGAATTAAGCACTTTTGTGGGGCGCAGCTGCTAAGAAAATACCGCAGCTCCAAAAACCAGTTTCAGCTGCAGCTCCTGGTCTGCAGGTCGCCCTTAGCAGAACTTTCAACAACTTCCTATGCTCAAAGTTTCCACAAATTAGTTATGCAAATTATGTGAGTCGCCTTTACCTCAGCGGCAGCAGTCAACCGCCAGTTACAACAACAACAATGGCGGCAACAACAACAAGAATAACAACAACAACTTTGACGGTGTCTGTTAGAAATCCGTATTTAAAACAATGAAGACTCTGTCCATCTTTCCATCTACCCATCTTTCCATCCGCCACCCGAATGTGGCCCTAAACTCAAAACTCAATCCTCAGCCCGATTAGGGCGCATAACAAAGCAGAATTTGTGTAAGTTCCTATTTAACATGCTTTATGCATTCCTCAATTATAAATAGATTAAAGTCCAAAATAGAGTAAAGTTAAATGTTAACTTTCCGGCCGAGCCGGACACCATTCACAAAGCAATTAACGCGCCCCAAGGAAGCAACGCCAGCGGCAAGGACGCCGCCAAGGGTCTGCGGGCAACAGCGTGGGCCAAGGGCGACGCCTAAGCAGAACTCAATTTAACTGACTGCCAACTTTCACAATCACTGCCCATCATCAATTTCAGATTTTGCTGTATGTTTTATGTAGTAGCTGAAGAAGAGGCCACGCCATTCAATTCCTCACTCATTCACTCAGTCACTCAGTCAGTCAGGCAGTGAGGCAGTCAGTCAGTCAATCAGCTAGTCGGATTGGGGAAAAAAGTGAAAACAATGCCGAAACAGCCAGCTCGCAAATGGCTGTGAATGGTTGCCCAGGGAAGCGACCGTCAGAGAGCCCAAAAGTGTTTCAGTGTGTGTGTGTGTTTGTGTGTGTGTGTGTGTGCGAGGGTGTGTTGATCTGTGTGTCTTGGTGTGTGCTTGCTTAAGCGTAAGTCTCGCCCCGCCCCTGGCACCACCTTAAGCTTAAACCGCACAACAATGGCAGCCAGATAAAACAGCGAACGGACAAAAAAGGGTTTGCCGTTGAGCAACGTCTGCCTGGTTGCGTCTTAAAGGATTGCTCAAGTTTTTGGTAACCAATATGTAAATGTGCGTGCTGTGATTAAGCACAATGGACCTGATCAAACCTAGCCAAGAAAACATAGACACACAAACAGACAGACAGACAGACAGACAGAAAAAGGGAAAGAGAGAGAGGATGAGAGGGACAGACAGACAAGTCTTTGCTTAACCTAAACCGAAAACCCAATCCCAAACCCAAACCCAATCTGAAACCTAAACCTAAACCGAAATCTAACCACAATTTGAAGAGCACAAAATGTGAAACCAAAACAAACTGAAAAACGCAGCCGAGTCGATGTCTGGACAAGGCCAACTTTACACACCTCAAGTGTTTGTTTAGGCTGCCAAAAGTCGGACCGCATTGAGGTGGTAGTGGAGCATTCGCCATGACCATTTGCTGTCTTGTTGTTTTTGGCCACTGGCTACATAAATCTTGTCTTGCCAAACAAAGGCTCGCACCAGAGTTAGCGATATGCCACCTCAGAGCGATGCTCCGCCCAGCTGCCCCAATAAATGGCGCTAAAGACAATGCCGGACGAGTCGTCGTCTGTCGGCAACACCCGAAACTATTAGTGAAGAGCCTTCGACTTTGAGGCCTCGTCCCGAACCCCTATCCGCCAGCAGCTTGCAAGATGTGTGCGAATTTTTAAGGAGCACGCACATAAATTGCAACCGCCAGGTGAGCAATGCTGCCACACTGTTTACAGGTGTGTGGGTGTACAGGTGTGATAGGTGTGTAGGGGTGTAGGTGTGTCAGGCGCCTTGATGTATCACACAAACAGACACAAATGTATTTATGCTGTGGGATGGGGGGCGTGGAGCTGTCTGCAAGATTCGCTTCTTATGGGCATCAGCCGCGTTCCGGCCGTAATAAAAACTAAAATCCGCACAACAATATGTGCGAGGATAATGCCATTTCCGTTTTATGTGAAATCCTCTCTCAGTAGTCCGTGTCCGCATATTCGCATATCTGTCGCCCCCTGCGCCCACAACTCGCTCACATGTGTGTGTGTGTGTGTGTGTGTGTGTGTGTGGGGCTTCAGCTCGAAGGTGTGCGCTTTCCCTCGGCCTTGGCCAATGGGTTCGCTACACAGTGCCGAAATAGGAGTACGGTCGAAAAACTTTTTTTCGTTATGGCACTTTTGGAATGCGGATGGATGGTTAAATGGATGGGGCCAGTTTTTATGGATTCGCCCGCCCGTTCAGGTTAGGCGCAATAGACACCATTGAGGAGCCTAGACTGCATGCCGCTAAATAAAAACTTTTAAAATAGCAACAGCAAGAGCAGATGGTGATGATGATGTGACGATGATGATGATGATGATGTTGATAAAGAGAGCAGATTATAGCTATATCAAAGCATACCAAATTGGAAAAACAACTATTACCGTTACTTTTATTGTTGTTTACAATTTGTAAATATGAACATTTATAATTATGATATTCTGAAAAAATTTTTGAAAACACAGTTACTTTTTCTTATCAAAGTCTATATTAACGGGATAATAAACTCGATCAAATTTATTTATTTAAAATAAATGAGTTATTTATGAGAGGTATCTAAAATTTACTTTTATTTATATTTTTCAATAGGAATTTTAAGCGTTTTTTCTATTGCTGAAATTTAATTATATAAAATCAGTAAAAATTAAAGTGGCAAAATAATATATATATATATATATATATATATATATATATATATATATATATATATATATATATATATGTATATATTTTTAAATTAAACATTTCGTTAAAATTTTGCATTTAACTTAATTTCTATTTTAATTATTCAATAATTGAATGCAATGCATAATTTTTGTAAAAATAATAAATTGTAATTAATGTTGGCAAAACTATTTACATAAAATGATTTATGAAATAAATGAATGCTTATAGTAAATAAACAGGCATAGTTCGTTTAATTGTGTATAATGAGTTGAAATATTATTATAATTTATCGCATTGATTTGTATAGTTGAAATATGACATATTAGCAGCTTTTCAAAGAGAATAATTCCATATAAATGATATATAATACTAGTATTTATTTGAACTATTTTCAGTAATCCTGAATGGAATAAACTCAGAAATGCTGTCTATATGAACTTTTCATTTTATCGAAAACAAATTGTGTGTAAAATTGATTGAAAGTATTTAAAATTGAAGCAAAAAATGTAGGGAGAAATATATGATTATTCATAGTTATTTCTTCAGTTGCTGCAGAGCTTATTTGTCAGTTTCCGCATGGGATTATAACGACTGCTCATTTGCAACATTGTGGACTCATAGTTGTAATCAACATCAAATGGAAGCCTTGGCAACGCCATAATCGCTCAGCTCTGCCATAATCGAGTGCAGAATGTAAATGTGGTGCTGTTTTTGCTCAGTGTGCGAGGCGAGCGCCAAGATGAAACAAACGTGCATCTTCGAGTGGCAAAAAGCGCAGCGCTGGCGTGCGAGACGGCAGCAAATGTAGAAAACAGAAACGGAAGAAGAAATACCATAACTAAATCCATTGCCATACCCAAATCCGAGGCAAAGTCTGCGATGCAAATAGTAGAGATTATGGGGCTGCCGCTGCTGCAGATGAATAAGAACAAGAGCAAGGCAGCCGCCGTACTGGTGTTGGATGAGTTTCTATTCGCTGCTTGGGCAGCGTGCGAGCTTCAGTAGGTGTTTACAGTAAGTCGCTACGTGTGTGTGTGTGAGTGTGAGCATGTAGCAACGTGGCTATGTGTGGCACAATAAATCTTACAAGGGTGCCGAATGCCCGGGTCCGGGCACGGGACCAAGCACGGTACGATGTCGAAGCCAATGCTGGAATAGAGCTGCGACCGAGTGCCGCCAGTGAAAACCAAAACCAAATAAAACTGACATTATGCGAAAAGCGAAAGCCATAACTAAAAGTTGGGCTAACGTGGCATGATGGAGCAGCACTAAGCTTGATACCGGCGTAAAAAGGGGCGGACAGAAAAAAAAAAAAGAAAAGCAAAATAGGAATGATAGCCGAGATATCCAGCTGGAGCTGAGTTAGGAAGTCAAAGCGAAGTTAAAGAGGCTATGCGGGCGCATCATGCGATCGTCCGCAAACGGAAATCGAGCTTTGGCCCTTACCTGACTGTGGGAGCCAGCGTTAGTTCAACTTGCAGCAAGTTATGCAAATGTCCTCAGTTGCCACCAATTCACTGCTGCTGCTGCTGCTGCTGCTGTTTGTTGTTGCATTTGCTGATGTTGCTGTTGGTGGTGCTGGTGGTGTTGGCGGTGTTGGTGGTGCTATCAATCGAGAACAGCGACGTTGACGCTGGCTGTGTCGTGTGCTAATGACATTTGCTTTGATTGCGACCAGAACTTCAAACTGTCATTTTCACTGGCTGAGAGTTATTTCATCTACTTGTCGTGTTGTTGCCGCTGTTGTTATTGTCCTTGTGCAACTGTGGAGCATTTGCTGTGGCGTCTGTCTATTTATTTAATTTGCATGCAATTTTCAATTTTTATGCCAAATACTTTGAATTGACAGCAAACGACGCGCGCACACACACACACACACACACACACACACACACACACTCTTTTGGTACATGTACAATGGAAATTGAATTGCAAAATTTGTTTGCCAGTCAATCGGCGGCGGAGCAGATAGAGTTTGTCTACTTGAGGGGGGGAAAGGGACGGCCTGCAGAGACAGCAGCGGCAAAGTGCGCCACGTTCATGGCAATGTCACAGCCACAGCCTGAAGAAATCGCACAATTTGGCGGCGCAAATGTCAAGTATTCTGAATGCCACGACCGGGTCGTCTAGTAGGACGAGCACGACTGTCACCACAATGGGCGCCTGCAACAACAATGATGCCGGCAAATAGGCACACACACACACACACACACACACACACACAGACACAAGCACTCACTCACCAATACAGTGGCACACACAGACACTGCAATTCACATAAACTGAATTAGAGTCAAGTCGAAACATATATATTGAAAGCGAATGAGTCAGTCGTAGGGCTTTCAAATTTACGCAATTCGCATAAAAAAAACGTCTGATATAAACAGAGGCGCGAAATCGAGACACGTTGTCGCTGCGGTCAACTGGCTGCTGCCTATAGGTTGGCTTGGTTGTTCCGCTGATGCGACCGACTGCAACGACGAACGCTTCGAAACTGAAACACAAGCAGAGTCCTGCAAGCCTCAAAGGATGCTGAACAAAGCGCCAAGCGAGGCCGACGACGACAACAAAACCCGATGCTATTGCCGAACCAAACGATGCTGGTAGATGCTGCTGCTGCTGCTGCTGCTGCTGCTGGCCGTAAGAGAGTGACAAAGCGACCAAAAGAGAGGGCAAGCGAGCGTGAGCGCCAGAAAGCAGCTGTTGGGATGCTGGCGCTCTCCACAGTTGGCGACGGCAGTGACTAACGTGCGACTTCGTTAAATTTCTGCGGCGACAGCACACAAAACGGATTCGGAAGCGGAAGTAGCAAGTAAGCGAGCGAACGAACGAGCGCCATGGGAGGGTGGGCTGATGCTATAGATGATGCTGTAGCTCAAGTTGAAGCTGAAGCTGAAGCTGAAGCTGATGCTGAAGCTGCTGGTGTGCAATCAGAAAGTAGGCGAAGTAACGCGAAGTAGCTGCCTCTAGTCGAGTGGCCGTCGGCTGCGGGGCACGCGAAGAAGCATGGGCCATGGCAGAGAGGGGGGCATGGGGTCGGGTGGTAGTTAGAGAGTGGGCGGGCTGGAGTGGCTGGTCTGGGCGTGCGGCATCAATATTCACATTCGCACTTGTGCGAGTATTTTCTGATTTGCCGCAATCGCATTGCCAACAATCTTTACAACAGCAACAACAACAACAACAACAACAACAACAACGTGGACATATAGAACAAATTTTCAACCGGATGCAGAGCAAATCTTTTTTGCGCCGGATACTAACGGTGTCTTCGACAGAGCCAAACACGGCAGCACATCCTTGCACCCATAGACACATGCAGGTGCGCCTGTTTCTCTATATCGATAACTAATAATGGCATTACATTTATGTTGGCCAAACACAGCCTCCTGCCGTCTGCCGTCTGCCGTCTGTCGTCTGCCTCCTGCTTGTTTACCCTGCTAGAGGTAGAGCGTTTGGCTCGTTAGTCCTTTGGCTGCAGCCTCGCACAATATTTCAGTTTTTAGTTTTCCGTTCTCACTGCTCGCTGTCCCATTTCTTCCTCTCGTGTTCGTCTCTTCTCTGAGCAGTTGTTGTTTTTGTGTTGTCTGTTTTTGTTAGTTTCTGCAATTGCAGTCGTCCTTTGCCCACACACAGACACACACACACACACGGACACACACATACAGGCACCAGCAACTAATTAGAAACACTTGCCATACGCTGCAGCTGCTATAGCCAGTGTTTTTGTGTGCAGCTCATTCCGAGAATGGGTGTGAGCGATGAGTGAGCAGGTTGAACTGGAGTGGAATGGGGGATTGGCAATTGCTTAGTTGATTTTCATTGACTGCCCTTTGGCCGTGTGGACAGATATTGTAGTTGTTCGCTGTCATTAATTGGCTGTTGGTTGTTGTTGTCATTTCCTTTTAGTGACAGCTCAAAATGATCTCACCGTGGATAGAGGCTGCGCATTTGGCTAATGCAACTGACTTCACTGAGATTATCTTTTCATGCCATAAAGAGCTATGCATGACTTTTAATTGAGACTCATTTTTACATCTGACATTATTAATTATTGCCGCTGCCTTTCTAATAAAAGTCCTGGCTCTACTTCATTCGCTTCACTCATGCAGCTCATAATTAGGCTACGATTCACCTGGCATTATTAATTACCCGTCAGCCCGGTGCAGCTGAGTGATACTCTAGGTTTTCTAATAAAAGTCTTGGCCCCACTACTCCATTTCCTCGACCCACGCGCGCTGCTCATAATCAGCTTCCGACTTGGAAATTTCAAAGGCTTTCGCAAACTTAACGCCTTCCGGTCTCTGGTCTGGTCTGGTCTGGTCTGGTTTTGTCGGACCGCTTTCTTATTCACAAATATCAAAGTTCTTCAATCGAGAAGACTTCCGCTTTTTACAGCCGCATATTGCAGTTCTGGCCCATGGTGCACTGCTGGCTCCGCTCGGAGTGGCCCCAAGCCAGGACTAGCACGAACATCGCCACAACCACAGCCACAGCCCCACATACACAAACACAAGCGCACACAAACAGGACATTGAATTTGTTTTGGGTTTTGATTTTTCGATTTAAAATTGTCCGTTTCAATGGCAATGGTCTGCCCAGAGCCAGCTGGGCAACGGGTCGACTGGTCGACTAGTCGACTGGTCGCCTGGTCTAGTTGTCTGGGGCGATTGCTTTTGCTCAAGTTGAGGTGTTGCTTTTTACACATTTATGTTGGATGCTGCATTGCTCGCCGCACATGATATTTCCATTGACAAAATATTTAAGGACTCTTCCTTTCGACTCTCAGCTCTCAGCGCTCAGCTCTCAGCTCTCAGTCTTAGTTATATGTTATAAGCTATGCAATAAAGTAATTAAGTTGTATGCCTGCCACACCCCTGCCACTCGCCCACTCGCCCACGGAGTCTGTGTGCAAATCTGTCTATAAATTCAAGTTTGCTGCCAATATTTGCTGTCTCAATTTAAGTAATTGGGAAATTGTATTTGGATTCTCCCTAAATTTATCTAATTTTCAAATGAAATACTTTTTGAAGCCAATTGCTGCTATGCCAAACCTATCAATATTATTTGAATTGTATATTGATATTGAAACTGTTAATCTATAAAACATTTTGAGGCACAAATTTCTTTAATTCATTCATTCAAAGTAGCAGCAGCCAGAACAATAAGATGATATTCGCTTCAAATGTACGCAAACCCAAAGCTTCTGAGTAATTCGATTAATCTGCCCAATCAACGCTATGCCTCGCGGCTGAAACAAGTAAACTGATTATGAGAGTGTAATCTAATTATGCAGTTTGATTGCAAAGTTAATTTCATCGGATTACATTGCATGCAAAAAACATCGGAATAAAGTTTTGCATGTTTTTGATTAAGTTTCACATATGCAATTCATGCATATTATTATATTTACATATTTCATTTAATAGTTGTACTGCTGGAATTTCTTGCACAATTTCCATTTTTTTTTTTTTTTTTTTTTTTTTTTGTATCTTTATAACCTGATTCCATTATAATTAGGAAATCGGGACTTTGTTGAAATCTTTTTAGTAGGCTAAGCTAAAATGCATATATATTATTGATTATAAAAATTTCCATATTCATTTCAGAAAATTTATTTAATTAATACTTGAAAGGCGAAAAGAAATTATTGTTCTACATGGATTATATGAATAAGTAAAGAGTTATGGCGTATTTACTATTTATACGACTCGACTTGCCGTTCTGATAAAAAGAATATATACATAGTTTAGAAAATCCTATGAAGCTAATATAGATAATATATTATATATTAAAATTAAGACCATATATATATATAAGAAAAATATAAAAATAAAGATAAATATTTACTTATAAATACGTAAATATATTTCTTACTATTTTATTTTAATATGAATAATTTAAAATAATTCAGAAAATTGTATGCTTCATCAGTTTGGTAAATGATGTCTTTAATAATTTCTAAATAAATCTAAAATAATGATAGTAGTAAATTGGCTATCAATAAATTATTATCAATAATAATTATAATAGTAATAATAATTATAATAGTAGCCAGTCATAATATAGATATATTTTAAGAAATATTGTTGTTAATTGTGAATTTTCAGCCTAGACTATATTATAGTTTGCCTTTACTGGCAATGGAATTAATTATTATCTTTTTGAAATATTTATAATGTATAATCACTTATTCGAAATTATATTCTCTCAGCTGTATCTGAAAAATAAAACCTATTATGCTATAGCAGACGAGCATTGCAGTGTTTAATTGAAAGAATATTGAATGTAAATAATAGAATCCATTATCTCCTAGCTCTTTTTCTCTGTAATAAATAGCAGAAAAGTGACTACAGCTAAAGCCTGCCATAATGATTCCGAGTCTCGCTCATTAAGGGGATCAGTGCATGGTGAGCTCCAGTGTATAAGCGAATGCCGTCAATGCAAGGGTTGCCTAGTAGTTAAGCTACGCAGAGCTCTGGCCGCGACTCGACAACTTCTAGTTAAGAAATTGAGGTGAGCAAAGCTGCTGCTGCTGCTGCTGCTGCGACACTGCATTGACAGTCGCCATAATTGTAAACGATGTGCCCTTTAGACCCAGACATGTTGCAGCTGCAGCCTTTTACATAAAGCGTTTCGCGGGTCTGAGCGTTATCTGAAGCGAAGGCTGCAAGTTGCCGCGTGTTGCCGTGACTCCAATAAAAACTAGCTTCGCGTGGCAAATGGAAGAGAAATGTTATTTCCCGCTGCAGTCGCTGCCTCTGCTGCTGCTGCCGACGTCGCAGTTGACGCTGCTCTGTTGTCCTGTGCTTGTTGTTTACGCTAGTTGCACTCGTCATTGCTGGCGATGTCGGCAGCCTTTGAGCGATCGCTTTGACTGCGACTAACAACGCCTTATTGTTCATGTAGCTGTTGTTGTTGTAGTTGCTGTAGCTTTTGCTGTAGTTGTTGCTGTTGCTGTTGCTGTTGTTGCTGCTGTTTGCAGAGCTGGTCACGCTCATTTGCGCTGTACCGTGAAATGCTGTAAAAAGCAAAGATGAAAACTTGTTTACCAGTTTCTATTGCTGCCGCCTCTGGCTTTGCTTTTTGCCATAGTTGGTGTTATTGTTTTGTTTTGTTGCTGCATATCCTAGACTATTTGCAGCATTATGGGCATAATGCGTACCCACACACACACACACACATACACACGCACACCGACACAGCATATACAAATATCCAATACACACACACACA